AATATAATATAAAATATAGATGCTTCAAAATGCATAAATTTGATATATGTTATATGTATGATATTTCGCGCAGTTATTATCAACTAATCAGATTGCAGCTTCCTTATTAATTTGGTTATTAGATTCGATCTTGTGATCCTGTGATCAGAAATGGATGATCTATACCTCATTAGAATTGTCTTAGTGAGCTGATTCGAATGGTGGTGGTTTCATCGAATTCTGTCTAGTGGTTCAAGAGTTATGGTCATTTTTGTAGGTTAACAATATCATACACTGTTAATTAGGCATTCGTTAGTATATGCTTCATTCTTTTTTTAAACTCGTCATTGTCATAACTGGATTAATTTCAAAGCTTAAACTCAAAAATGTTTTAGTACTTATCTCATTGGCTTACTAATTTTTTGCAAAGTAAATAGGCCTTTTAATAAAATAATTTGCATGTAATAGTATTTAAAAAATTTAAACAGTTTAGGAACCTTTCATAAACAATTAAATTGCACAAGTTTAAACACTTCATACTTAAACAATTAATACATTTATTGTGAATGATCTTTCGCTTTTGTAATTGTATGATTTGAGTTAGCTCCATAGAAATTTAATTTACTACTTTAGTAATCGCTTATTTAAAATGTCAAAATTTGACTTGCCACTTTAGTAATCGCTTATTTAAAATAGTAAGCAGCTATAAAATGATCATGATGGTAATTATCCAATGTTTTTGTTTAAATAAAATTAGTTTAATTAAAACTAACTCACATGTGTAATAATCATTTATTATATATAAAATTATTAATATATTAATTATGTAATTGTTATGCAAGATTTTTTTATTTTATTTTATTTTTTTTTTGTTTTAAATAAATTAATATTATGCTACTTAACTCTTTTTAATAAACTTAGCAAAATTCATAACACAATAAAAATTATACAAAAAGGGTTAATTTAAATATGCATCACATATCTATAAGAACAAAAGGAATATCGCATATTTAATATAGTACATCTAAAATATCATTATTTTAGATGCTCGAATATAGAAGCTGTGAGACAAATATTTTGTCTTTTCATCAACATTGTAAACAATCATCTATCTAGTCTGCCTTAGAATATTTTCATTAAGTGTTATAGACAATCATCTAATCCTTCACAATGATAAGTATGTCGACTACTTCTTATAAATATCTGTTGCAATAGATGAAAATACAAATAAAATTTGTTAGAAAATTGAATTTTTTTATTAAAATTATATATTTGAAATCAACTTAATTTTATCCATATGCTTTACAAAATGCCCAACTGTAGCAGTTGTAATACTAATTATTTTGATGAACAATTCATCTGAAATAATGTACATTACAAGACGTGCATCATATGTAAATATAATCATGACCAGAATATGAAAAAAAGTCCAGCCACATTTGCTAACCAAGAAGTGGAGCAAGATAATATTGCACATGCTGAAGTTGACTATATTGACATTAGAGATTTTATTGAACATAAAATTCAAAAGTTAATAAATAATAAGGAAACAACTTACCAGACACATTTATTAGTACATATAGATGTAGCTGTTCAAGATATGACTTTAAAGGAAGTTGCTGATCTTGTCATTGTCAAAGTTGGAAATAGAGACAATTATTCATGGAAGTAAGTACTAATATTATTATATAGTTTCTTTTTTTTTCTTCATTTTTTTCATTTTTTTTATTCATTTTTTTTTCTTTTTTCGGGGTTTCTTTTTCATTTTTATTATTATTTTTTTTATTTTTAATAAATATGATGCTTTTAGTTATAAAAAGGCAGACTTATCAAGAAAGTTTAACACAGTTGGTAGATTTACGTACATCTGTTGCCAGTCAAACGAGGTGCAGAACTATAAATATAAAGACTCAAATCATAAGTAGTGTGTGCATTACGATTGCAGGAGTAAGATCATAGTAAAAGTTGATACAACACTTAGTGTTGTAGCAGTGAATATATATCATAGATTTCTTCATCCATGCCCAGATTTTATCACTGAAATATCTGATGAACTAAAGAAGGAAATAAATGCACACGCACACCTTACTACAACAGAATTAATAAATCACTTATGGCATAAGGAATTCGATATTTTCAAATATTCACATAAGCATATATATTATTGGAAGTCTATTGCAAACCAGAGTAGATTCCAGCATCATAGTGACCCAGTTGAATCAGCACGTAAATTGCTTGCCAAATATGAGAATATGGGTTTTCACCAATGCATATATATCCAAAATTCTAAATCAGTTGTTATTGGATTTATCATGCCATTATTAAATAACATTAAGAACCAAGGTATTTATATATTTTTGTTGTCTATAATTTTTTAGTAATGTCTATATATGGTTGTGCCTTTATCTAATGCATAATATTGCTAAACATATCGATATAGGGTTTTGTCTTAAAATCATATTATTAAGTATAATAAATTATATGCTTCATAATGTGATTTTCAAATAATGTTCAGACCAGAGCTAAAACGAGATATATTAAATGCCAGCCATCTAATAAGTACCATTCTTGGTTCACATTATATTAAAAATTCTATAATAATTGTTGAGATGATTAACTCAATTTTTAATGCATTAAAAAGGATACTTTAAATAATAGACAGTAGTACAGTAAATGGTCACTGTTCACTATATGTTGTTTTGGCACTAGTCCAGTTTTATGCGATTTCAAAGATTTTTCATTGTTTAAACAATAAAATTCTTGAAGTTGCATAAGTCTGGACATACTATTTTCAAGACAGACCTAAATATCAAATACTTGTATTTAATGCCTAACTTTTTTTTGTATATAATGATAAAGGTATTAATATTACAGAAATTTATATGGACACAACTTATAGGACTGCAAGAGAATGGTATGAACTATATGCCATTGTAGTTGATGTTGAGGGAGCTAGGTTTCCAATTGCTTATCTAGTGATCAACACAACGAAGGTTAAGAATATAAGTACTAGCACTGGAAGGCGCAGTGAAATTTTGAAAAAGTTTCTAATATCGATAAAAGAATGTAGTGTTGAACCGAACTTTGTGTTTACAGACAAAGATTTCAGGAAAATAAATACAGTGGCCAATGTATGAAGGCATTTAAAAGTCCAGCTCTGTTTTTGGCATATGGAAAGAGCATTGAAACGAAAACTAGTAAAGAAAGGCAAAAAATCAAAAAATTCAACTCTAATATCTGTAACTTACAATGCTGATCAGGCAGCAAATGAATTTAGGTTTATTGATTCTAAGTTCTATCCAACAGAATACGATCGAGATCCATAGAATTATGTTATTTGCTTAACAATATATCATGAACAAATCCTAAAACTGATAAAAAAACATTACAACATGCATCTACTAATACCTGGTAAGTTTGATTTAAATGTTAATTAAGTATTTGATTAGTAACATGTATTAATAACCTTTATAGTAATAGCACTATGAGAACAATGTTGTCATGTATAATCAACTCTTCTATAATGGAACTTCTACTTATATGTAAATATAATTCTCCCAGAGTCAGTTATTTGACACAATTACAAGTTTTAAATAATTTATAGTTTGACAATTGCAAGCACTAAAATAACCAGTCATACAAAGTTTATATTGATTACTTTCAAACTTGTAATTATCAAATGACTGACTCTCAAGAGGTTATATTTACATAATAAGTGAAAGTTCCCTAACCAACTGTTGGTTTTAAAATGAATGTTAAGCCTCATACTAATGCTTGTCTTAGATTATGACTGATGCATATCAGATGAATATCATCCTTTACTTAGCTCTTTTTTTATTCTTAACTTCTCAAATCTCTTCTAGGTTTTTCTCATTGGTATTATTCATTATCTTAAATCACTTTGGCATTTACATTAAGTTCCTCAGCAACTTTGTTTTTTCTTGAATTTATTTGTTTGAATTTCTACAGCATATTCTTGCTATCTAAGTCTTTTTAGCATGTTTAATTTAACAATTACTTTTTTCTATATATTAGTTTCTTTATTGTATATCAAATTGCTGTCTAACAGTCTAACAATAGGTTACATACCTTATCTGACAATCTACATCTAAGGTGCATCAGCTATGATCTGAGCAAGTGCTAGTCTGAGGCATATATATATTTGCTTAATAAACAAAAGTCTAATTTTCTCCTTCCAATTTCCTTTTATCATCCAACAACTATCTACATTATTTAACAGTTGACACCCAAGGTAGTACTATATTACTAGTAAACATCAGAGAAATCACCGTAAATGAAATGTACCAATTTTGTGTTAAAAATAATTTGTGGATTTTATGGTCATATCTTTGGACCAACTGGTATTCACCTGGTCAATAGCATCTTTAGACACATTCCGTTAGGCCTACAATACCTCTTAGCAAAACTACAATGAAAATTGAAGCACACTGGAGCATACTTAAATGGTGTTACTTATACTATTTCAGTAATTCCAAATTAGACCTCTTATTTTGGACTCTGCTTGATGAAGTAATATCAACACAATATGATCATCTTTCCTAGGTTTTAAATAATACAGTAAACCTCTGCTAGTGGGAGAAATTCAAAAAAAACTGGAATTACATGAGTGCTAGTAGTGAACGTTGAGAAGAAATGCATGCAAATAAAAGCAAAAGAAAATGAACTGATCCAAGATCAGTTAGCTTATCTGGAACATATTTCACAGAGGTCTCTTGTTGGATTTGCAGTTGTTTTGCTTTTGTTGGAAGCTGTTTCCTCCTATGTAAGCACTTGGTTCAGCAGGTTATAAATATGCCTAATAGAACAAGATAGCGGTTAATTAGAGAAAATTTTAAATGTCAGACCACACCACCTTTCCTTATCATAAAAGATCTTAATTATGATGAATTTAGAATGTACTTTAGTATAGGTAGGAAAATATAATTATTTAAAACATATTTAAAAAATTAAATAGTTTAAATTAAAATATAAAATTTTTAAATTTACTTAAATTAGTTTAAACAGCTAATTTTATAAGTTATATTTTTATCTTTTAAACAGTCAATTTAACTTCAAACCTGCTATGATATAGACTACAATCAAATACAATTTGATAGCTTAATCACAGATTAATCATCAAATTTGCAGGCAAATTTGCCTGTAAAACTGTTTAAGGATAATTATATATTTACCAATTTATATTAAAGTTTATTCTGAATAGTTTTTTTAGAGAATCCTATCTCTTAAATTGTAACATAGGCAAATTTGTCTGCGTTAATTTTTTTAAAATTAATTTTTATAATAAAATTTTAATAATTAATTTTAGCAATTTACTTTCTAAACAAAAAATATTTATAAAAACCTACTTTATAAACTTTGCTAAGAAACTTTTTTAATTTTATTAAAGAACTTTTGATTAATTAAAGTGCAAA